GTGTTTCGGATACCTCTAGAACAGTGGTTTTTCAGTGATGTGGAAGAGGAGGCAATTTCACACTCCTGGGGATATTTGAGTCATGAGCAATCACTGGAAACATTTCAGATTGTTAGAATTTGAGACTGTGGATTGGGTGGCGATAATGGTGCGGTGGGTATAGCCCAGGAATGCTGCTAAACATTCATCAATGGACAGGAAAGTGCCTACAAATAAAGTTTTCTGGCCCAAAATGTCATTAATGCCAATATCGAGAAATTCTGCTTTAGAATGGTCATTTCTATGCATTGATAGTAAGTCAGCTTGTAATTTGGGTCACATTATAAAGGCTACCTGACCTGACATGGGACATCAAGGAAGATTTTCTTGGAGAGGTGACATTATGACAATGTATTTTGTCTTTTGTGAAATCCAGATTCCATAACCAACCTGCATTTAACTAATTCACCAAATTCATGATGTTCTGCGTTCTTTTTATATAACACATTGCTAGGTTCCTGTGGCTCTTTCTGAACACATAAACCCACTTTCAGCATGCTGCCACTGCTCTGCTTCTCTCAGTTGGCATTGTTTACCAAGAGCTTATTATGTTTGTTTGCCTGCTTATTTATGTAAAATCAGTTTAATAGGAACACAAACTATTGACAAGACTATATAAAGGATACAGTGGTTTTTTCCGTGCAAACCAAAATGACTATTTTGGAAAAATTCAGGAAGGAGAAAACACTAAACATATGTTGTGGAATGGAGTAGGTAAAATTGTTTTACTCACAAACGATTGTAAATTGTCTATGAACAAATTGTTTTACTCACTCCATTCCACAGCATTGTTTAGTGTTTTCTCCTTCCTGAGTTTCCTCCTCCTAGTTTGAAGGCTAGGAGTAGGAGGGTAGAAATCATGGAATTCCAGGAGGATTCCTCACTTGGCAAGTGCTCATAGATTTGTTTTTCTTCTATTTAAAATAACCAAACTTGGATATTATCTAAAATCTGGTTTAGACAGGGAAGATGCTGAGGATTCCCGTCAGTGGATATATCCTCAAAAAATGCTGGCAAGCAAATCTGTTTGTTTTTACTTAAAATGTCTTGTTTCCAGTTAATAACTGACTGCTAGCTCCAGTCACATAAAAAAATTCTTTCTACAGTTAATGTTACAGAATTTGAGAGTAATATTGGAAAAAATGTTATCAAATACTATGATTCAGAGATATACTACTTGGAAATTATGATTAGATTGTGTAGGCTTCTGTATTTGTTGCAGGTAATCTTTTATCTTTAAATATTTTAGATTATTGATTCTTTGCTAACATCCTTCAGTTTAACTCTTCCATTTTATTTGTAACTCTCCTTTTCTTTAATAGTCAAATTTTGCCTAGAGGGGTAATAGTAATTCAGCTATTTGAACTAAAAAAGTTAGAAAACACCTTATACTGAAGGTATCAAAAAATTCATTTAATGTATCTAATCCAAGAAGATATCATAAGCAGCCGTTTTAAAAATAAGATTCCCACTTCAGTGAATGATGTTGATATTCTAGTCCCTGATTTAATTCCATATGTTCCTTTTTAGTTATAAAGTATAAGTGCAGTATTTAATTTTTTTAAAGTAAATGTCACTATTGAAAGAAGAATGCCCACGAGTATCATGGGAGAAAATACCAGGTGTGATCCTCCTTCCAGATGGCACCCCTACAGGTGAGGCAGCAGCCTGTGAAATTACAGTCTGAACTACACTGCAGATGAGCAGGGCATTTGAACCTAAGCCTTCTGATATCAGTAATAAATGACTTGGTTCAGAACCAAGGACAATTCCCAGGAATCTAAAGGCTGTTGTATCACATAGGGAGCCTGTCGTAAAATGAAGTTTAGCAAAGTGGAAAGTTGAGAGAAAGGACAATGACCATTAGCAATACATATATGAATCTTTTCATCTACTAATATTTTTAACTGGATATTTTATCTCACGAAATGTCATATTAGTTCTGTATATATTCTAGTATGTGCATTGATTTTTCAAAAGTAACCGTAAAGGGTGGCCAAGAGTCAGTTGCCAACTGAGATACTACTCTGAAATGATTACATACCTGTTGTAAATTCTAATCTTGTTTAATATGGTCTATGGAAAATTTTTCATTTTGGGAATGCTTGAATCCTTAACTACAAATGTAGTATAAAACACCTACTAAATCTTATTTTCGATTAGGCAAATCAATTTAAGAGGCAACATAAAAGAGTGATTCAGAACTTTTGTAGTTAGATCATGGTTCAAATTCTGTCTTATTCACTTCCCGTTTGTGTAACTGTGAACTATTTTTTTAGATCTCAACTTATTTAACATAAATAAATTAAATTGGAATGACAGTAAGTGGTGCTTTGGGGAAGAATTAAATGAAATAATTCTCATAGAGTCATTACAATAATTTTAACAATTATCACCACTATTGTCAGTTTTAATTTTAGAAAACAAAATATTATTTTTAAATGACATTTTAATTTGTACTACAAAAATAACAAAAAGCAAGAAGTTTCATTTTAACAAATGTATTACACACATACAACATTAATAACGTTATTTATTCATTTAAAAAATATGTATTGAATTCCTACTATGTACCAGACACATTTTCAGCCCTCAGGAATATAGCCTCAAACAATGTGCCGAAGTCCTTGATCTTAGAGCTTATATTTTAGTAAGGAGACAAAATAAAAGCAAATAAATAGTACTTTAATTCATAAGTGCTATGATGAAATACAAAGCAGGATTTAAAAAATGGAGCTTAATGAAAGAAAAAGGATATTTTATATAGGAGCATCAGAGAAGTTATTTGTGATAAGGTAACAGCTGAGCTGAAAGATAGAGCTAGAATACTAGAAAGCAATTTGACAGTGACAAATCAATACTTAAACTTTTTTTGGCCTTTGTATTTAATGTGTACTAAAATGTGAATTTTATTTATTTTATTTTAAGTTTTAAAACAGCAATCTTGCAAATAGGGACTTTTTTTTCCCTACTAAATCTATTAATAGTTTTACCAGCCAGTCTTTTCCTCATAAGTTAGATGCCTTCCATCTAATAATCCCTTGGCATAAATTATAATTCACTATAAGCAACAGTTGAATGCCTATTTATAATAAGCATTTATTTGCATAATCCGAGTTTGACATACTACTGAAGTACTCTATCCAGAAAAATAAGTTTCCGCCAAATCCTTAATTTTCCTAAAGTAACACATTAATAAACTAGCTTTGTTCCCAAGCCTCTGTTTCATAGGCAGTTATTTTCATATCAGTGAGTTGGGAAGTTGGGAAGAATAGGTCAACACCAATGTAGAGTTGCTAGCAATTCAGTTCAGTTCCTTTATTCAAGAATGAGAGCTATATTTTCTATACATTAAAATTGCTGTTATTCTCTTGGGAAGATTGTTCTGGGTTTGCGGTTTTTCTTGTTCTAGAGAAACCTTTAAAATATTTTTTATTGATGTGGTTAAAGAATATTATACTTACCCCACTGGGCATTTATCTGTGCACCGAACAAATGAGTGGATGAGAACAGTTTTGGTATAGAATGCTAAAGAAAAGGTAAAATTCGTGTTGGTTCACCATAAGCAATAAGGTATTCCGTGTGCTGAGCACTTGACTTTTCCTGCTGCTTTGAGCACTCGAGGGGTTGGACCCTAGAAGAAGAAAGACTGACTGAAACTGGTAGTGATTTGTCAGTCATGATTATTTGTCATTTGTATAATAAACTGTGAAGTGTAGTATTAGAATGTAGTATATTTAAAAAAAAAAAAAAGAATCTAGTGTATTTGTGATACCAATAGTGGCAAATTCTTTTTTCATTTGTACTGTATTATTATCCTTTCTTGGTATGGGATTCATTATCATACTGTAAAATCAGTAGTATACCAGGATCATATTTCATGAATTCTATTTCCATAAACACTAGTTCTGCAAGGCGTTGATAGATGTTAAATAGAAAAAAAGGTCTGTAGTCAGAAAGTAGGTAATACTTAAAATATGTTCAGCAGTTCTCTTCACCATAACAACTACTCAGAAATTTTTGTGTGCTCATGTGCATTATGAATCTCTAATGGGGGATATGGCAGCTGGTGTTTCTTAAACCTTTTGGTCTAAGGATCCCTCTCCTTTCTTTTTTTTTTTTTTTTCTTTAATATACCAAAAAGAAAGTCACTAGACAGGAAATTATTTGGGAAATGGTTTTCTAGACTAGAGCTTCTCAACCTTAGCACTACTGACATTTTGGACCAGGTTGTTCTTTTTTGTGAGAGGCTGTCCTGTGCATTGTAGGATGTTTGCCAATGTTCCTTGGCTCTACACAGTAGATGCCAGTAGCATCTTATTCACCCCCTACCTCCAGCAGTGACAATCAAAAATGACTCAGACATTGCCACATGTTCCCCAGCGGGGCAAAATCAAGTGGAGAACCACTGCTCGAGATGGATATTGCATCATTCTGGGGAGTTATAGGGCTTGTTAATAATTTTTATCTGAATTTTCTTTAATGAGGAAGAAACAGTAGTCTGGAAAGTAGAATCATAGATAAAGAAGATTGAGTACATTTTACCACAATAAACTTTCTGGGTTCACTTTATAAGCTGGCCTGATTTTCTAATGACTTTTACTGTAAAAAGATAGTTTCAGATTTTGCAGAATATTATTAAATATATGGCAGAAGCAAAAATTATTTTGTAATTAATAGAGTAGTTCCTGGGTGGCTAGGGGAGGCCTAGCAGGACTGGGGAAGGGATAGCATTAGGAGAAATGCCTAATGTAGATGACGGGGTGATGGGTGCAGCAAACCACCATGGCACATGTATACGTATGTAACAAACCTTCATGTTCTGCACATGTACCCCAGAACTTAAAGTATAATAATAATAATAATAATAATAAAGGGTAGCACCGATATTTAAATTGACCTGCTTATGAGGATGTTGCACCCTTCTAAACTCTTTTTTTCTTTTCCCTTTTTTTATGCAGGGCTACTTTCTTCTGTTTGAGTCTATGTTAGATTCTGTCCTTTATGCAAAGAACAGATACTTGGCAAAAGGAGGCTCAGGTGAGTATCAAATTTTGGTTTTAATAATCTTATTTTAGTGTAGCAGAACCAAATGAACCTTTGGATTTCAAATAAGCTATGCATGGCTGAGAAAGTTCCCAATAGAGATGAAAGATGTTTCCATTACAAGAATGTTTAAGACATTTGTTTACTATATTGTTGAAAGACTATTATATAAGATATGCAGGACTCCAAGGTAATGGTATTCTCAAGAATGCTTTTTGTAAAAAGCTCACTTTAATAAACCTGGGCAAAACCATTCAGGACATAGGCATAGGCAAGGACTTCATGACTAAAACACCAAAAGCATTGGCAACAAAAGCCAAATAGACAAATGGGATCTAATTAACCTCCAGAGCTTCTGTACAGCAAAAGAAACAATCATTAGAGTGAACCGGCAACCACCAGAATGGGAAAAAATATTTGCAATCTACCCATCTGACAAAGGGCTAATATCCAGAATCTACAAAGAACTAAAACAGATTTACAGGAAAAAAAAAAAAAAAACAAACAAACAAAAAACAACCCATTCAAAAGTAGGCAATGGATATGAACAGACACTTTTCAAAAGAAGACATATGAGGACAACAAACATGAAAAAATGCTCATCATCACTGGTCATTAGAGAAATGCAAATCAAAACCACATTGAGATACCATCTGATGCCAGTTAAAATGGCAGTCATTAAAAAATCTGGAGACAACAGATGCTGGAGAGGATGTGGAGAAATAGGAACACTTTTACACTGTTGGTGGGAGTGTAAATTAGTTCAACCATTGTGGAAGACAGTGTGGCAATTCCTCAAGGATCTAGAAATAGAAATTCCATTTGACCCAGCAACCCCATTACTGGGTATATACCCAAAGGATCATAAATCATTCTGTTATCAAGACACATGCACACGAATGTTCATTGTGGCACTGTTTACAATAGTAAAGACCTGGAACCAACCCAAATGCCCATTGACAATAGACTGGACGAGGAAAATGTGGCACATATACACCATGGAATAGTATACAGCCATAAAAAATGATGAGTTCATGTCCTTTGTAGGGACATGGATGAACCTGGAAGCCATCATTCTTAGCAAACTGACCCAAGAACAGAAAATCAAACACCGCATGTTCTCACTCATAGGCAGGTGTTGAACAGTAAGAATACATGGACACAGGGAGGGGAGCATCACACACTTGAGATCTGTTGTCAGGGGCTGGGGAAGGACAGCGTGGGGTGGGGAAGTTGGGGAGAGAATGGTGAGAAATGCCAGATATAGTTGACCGGGGGTGGTGGAGGCAGCAAACCACCTTGCCATGTATGTACCTATGCAACAATCCTGCATGATCTGCACATGTACCCCAGAACCTAAAGTACAATTTAAAAAAATAAATACCTAAACTAAAGACTAGTATTTGGAAGCTTTTAGATACTCAAATTCAAATCTAACAAACCCCTTTTTATTTTTAATCCTCATGTCATTTTTTTCCCTTTTTTGCCAATGGCATGTTTCATACTAAATTGGAGATTATTCTTGACTTCACTAACTATGTAAAAAACCCAACTTCTCTGTGATTTTGTGAGAATATTTAAAGTAGTGACTGGTTTCTAATAAGTTTTAAAAGTGCAACATACCCAATCCTCATCTAAATGGATCCTAATAAATTTGGAAGGCTTTCTTTTTATGTTTCTGGAAAACATTTAATCATATTAACTCTGCATACTTATTGTGAGATTCTGTTTTTACAGACCTTCTGCTGTGAGAAATTGTAGACAGACAGAATAATTGTTTTTCAGGACAGGGATTATGTTTGTTTAGCTTTAACTCTTAAATGAGCTTCACTGCTTCTGGGATGTAGATGGAGCATCATACATATTTATGGAATTGAATCATTAAAACAATCACTAAAACTGAATTGAACGGCATCTGTCCTCCTTCACTTACCTCCCTGCATCTTACCTTTCTCAAAGTTTCAAGATCAGCAAATGGTTTCCATGGTCAGAATACAGTTGGTAAAACATGAAAGGGGGAGGCATTTCAAACTATCGATGTAAAGGACTTCACCATAGTCATGCCTCTTATCATCCAAATTCTATGAAATTACTTTGGCAATTCTGGTACAGTTAAAAATCAGTGAGGCTAAAACATAAAGTACAGAGAAAATTCTCCAAAACAAGAGAGTTCTTTTTATAATAGCATTTAAATTGATTGCCTTTCTTTTTCAAAATGTGCCCATTTTATCACATTATTTTCTGCAACCATTTCAAGATACATTCCCAATCTCTGTCAAGAACCTGGATAGAATTTTTAGATACATTTTACCCTGCAACAATTGGCTATAACTTCCTATGATTGCAACAGCTTGTTTTTTAATGACTACTACAGGTTGAATATCCCTTATCCAAAATGGTTGGGACCTTCAGTGTTTCAGATTTTGTGTTTTGGGGATTTTGAAGTACAATCTTTGCATTATACTTACTGGTCGAGCATCCTTACTTGAACATTTGAAATCTGAAATGCTCCAGTAAGCATTTCCTTTGGGTTCATGTCAGTGCTCAAATTCAGATTTCAGATTTTCAGATTAGGGATACACCAATTGTAACATTTAATGACTTAAAAACAACGTTATCCATCATTTGTTGACTGTCTACTGCTGCCAAACTGTATACCTTCATTCATGTTATTAGACGTAATCCTCACGATAGCCCTTCGAGATTTTAGAAACAGTCTTCTAAAAGTGTCCTGGATGACACATACTAAATGGCAAACCTTGATTTTTTTTTTTTAATTCAGATCTGCCTGCCTCCAATATTCATGTTCTTTTTATTAAGCCTTGTTTCCCTTCTAAAATATTTATATATGTTATATACATTTTATATAATATATTCTATATACAAATATTTTAGGGAATAAGCCTTTCCCTTCTAAAATCTTTATATATATATGATATATCATAATATATATTATAGTATGATATGTCATACTATTATATATATATATATTTTTTTTTTTTTTTGAGGCGGAGTCTCGCTCTGTTGCCAGGCTGGAGTGCAGTGGCATGATCTCGCCGCACTGCAACCTGTGCTTTCCGGATTCAAGTGATTCTCCTGCCTCAGCCTCCCTGGTAGCTGGGACTACAGGCACAGCCACCACGCCCAGCTAAGTTTGTATTTTTTGGTAGACTCGGGGTTTCACCATGTTGGCCAGGATGGTCTCTATCTCTTGACCTCATGATCTGCCTCGACCTCCCAAAGTGATGGGATTACAAGTGTGAGCCACCGCACCTGGCCAAAATGTATTTTTTAAATGTGATTATTGCCTTGAAGTTCTAGGGAAGATCCAAGTAGCTGTTTCCAGACTTGCCTGAAATTGATCTTACTAAGGAACTAACAGCAACTTAATACATTTAAATTGAATTCTCCGTGAAATTCATTAGGAACCTACAGCAATGTGAACAACGGCAGAGCTATTTCTTATCATCAGAGGGATAAAGTGGAAGCTCATATATCTAACTCTTTCTGTACTTTTATATGGCTTATGTTAGTGGTAAGATAATACAGAGATGTATTTAAGAGAGGTCAGCATTTAACTCCTTAAGCAGCGCTGTTGAATGTTATTTGTTAACAGAATCAAGAGGAAGAAAGAAAATGTAGAAAACAGTAACGCAAAGTAGTTTAATCTATTTGTGTATTTGAGTATGTCTTGATGAATATCACTGGTCATTTCTATGCTCATTGTTCTATTGCAAAGCAAAGTTTTTCTTTGTTTTTCTGAAGGACAGATTTACCAAATAATTAGTAGTATAAAGATTATAGAGGCTGTGCGCAGTGGCTCACGCCTGTAATCCCAGCACTTTGGGGAGGCTGAGGCAGGAGAATTGCTTCAACCCGGGAGGCAGAGGTTGCAGTGAGCTGAGGTCGTGCCACTGCACTTCAGCCTGGCACCTGGTAACGGAGTGAGACTCTGTCTCAAAAAAAAAAAAAAGATTATAGAAAGAATGAACACATTACGAGAGGGAATATTGAAGGCCCATACAAACCTGATGGGACCACATTTAATTTTACATGAATTTAAGTTTGATTTATGTCTCATCATACATATTATGGTAAGCAGTAAAGGCTTTATAAAACACAGATGATAACTTGGATGTTCATCTACCTCATTATTCATCAAGCAATTCCACTGTATTTTAAAGTTACATAGTTACTACCCTTCTAAGAAAACTAATTTTGTAAAGTTAGTGAAAGCAGTTCTACTAGCAATGATTTCTGCTATTTCTAGCGAGTATTTACTAAGCACTAATTGTGTGTCAGGAATTGTAATGTTTTACACGCAGCCAATAAGAGATGAGGAGGAAAATTAGGAAAGTATTGGTTATAACCAATGGGTGTTTTTATAACTACAATTAAGACTAAAATAAACATGTATTTTAGGATGACAACATAGAATATAAATGTTTTATATACTAACAGTGTCAAATACTGCATCTCACAAAAATTGGAAAGGGAATGCAGGTGGCAGGTAGAAGTGTTTACATTTTAATTGCTTTATCTTTAATAATAGGTACTATGGAATGTTATTTAAAGCTGGCAGATCAAGTAGTAGAATTATTAAGTACATTTAGCACTACAAAGCTAACATTAAATTGAGTGATGAGGGTGGTGGTGGTAGATCCTGTCTGTGTCTCTTGACTTTATCAAAGCATGTGCAAATATACACCAAAGAGTGAGTGTTGCTGCACGTAAATTATACTTCAGAAAAGTGACTTTTTAAATCAACTAAAGTAGCATTCCCCACCTCCTTTGGGCCAAATGAATTATGACATGATTCAATTCCTAATTTTTCTGAAAAGTACTTTTCTTTAAAACTGTGTACTAACTCTGTGCCCACCTCTGTATTTGTTGTTAGTATTATCGATGCAACTCTGTTTTTAATATACGGAAAAAATTTGGTGTTCAGAGAAGGCCCAAGAGAGTGTGAGAAAAAGAGGAGAAAAGGGAAGGAA